TCCATTTCTGATGTCAGATCATTGTTAGTCCTATTCACTGTCCTGGAAATTGTAAGTTTTCCCCATCTGGCAATTGATACTATTCCTGGCCCTATGTGAATTCTAGGCGGCTCCTTCCCTTCCCTCTGCCCTTCACAAGTAGTTTTCTCATACACACACACACAGTGATCAGTACTGTGCTAAGTGCTCGCTGGAGACTCTTTGCATATCTCTAGGATTTACTGCCTGTGCTGCCTTCTCCTCTCTTGTAGTCTGTCCTACAAATTTTTCCAGCTTTGGTCTTCCCAGACCCTCTACCTTGTGTCTTTAATTCAGAAAATTCTCTGGACTCTGCTTGAGTTCTCCTTCCCTCTGCAATAGTCTGGAAAGTCTCTAAAAGAAGGAAACTGGGGCAACTGTAGAACTCATCTTGTTTGTATTCCATCCCTCATGGATCATTCCTGCCTGGTCCCAGTATTTCAAAGGCCATTCTTTTTTTTTTTTTTTTTTTTCATACATTTTTTCTGTTTATTTTGGCTGGTTCCAGAAGGGAAAGTAGGGGTGTCTGAGTGGCTCAGTGTTCAACTCTTTTTAAAAAAAATTTAAATGTTTTTTATTTATTTATTTTGAGAAAAATAGGAATAGAGAGCGAGCAGGGGAGGGACAGAGAGAGAGGGAGACAGAATCCCAAACAGGCTCCACACCATCAGCACAGAGACCAAAGCAGGGCTCAAACTCATGAATTGTGAGATCATGACCTGAGCTGAAATCAAGAGTCAGGCACTTAACGGACTGAGCCACACAGGGGCCCCTTAAGTATCCAACTCTTGATATCAGCACATGTCCTGAAATTGAGCCTGGAATCACTGAGCTCCACACTGAGGATTCTCACTCTCCCTCTCTCTCTCTGTCCTTCCCCTGCTCACAAGCTCTCTTTCTCTAAATAAATAAGTAAACAAAAAAAAAAAAAAAAAAAGAAGGGAGAGTAAATTCTGTCTGCTTCTCCATATAGATGAGAAGCAGAAGTCTGTCTCATTTTGTTTGATCTTAATTTTCCATGTTATATTTCTTAATTTCTAATATTTTTTTCAGAGTTCAGAGGGCTCACCATTACACTATGGAATTTCTGCTATTTTCATTTTAATAGTTAAATTTCCCCAAGTTTCTTGTTTGGCTTCTCCAAAGCTTTTATTATTAAATGCCTAATAACCTTTACTCTTAAGATAATAGTTTTTTCACAAAATCATGAAGCACAAAGAGTGATAAGAATGGGCCGTCAGTCCAGTTAATGATTTAGTGTCTGCATATTAAGGGAAGACAATGGAACGATGGCCCTTAGAGAAAAGTTTAGTTGGCCCGAAGTAAATATTCATCTTATCATTGTAGCCCTGTAATCTAGTGTTCAAAGGACTGCTTCTTGTGATTTCCGTCACTCCCATTTAAGTCTAAAATCACTTATTGTTACCACAAATGCTGCATAAATTACCATATTAATTATGCTTAATGTTTAGTAACTGTTTACCCTTTTATAATGTAAGGCCCCAGAGAATAGAAATATTTGTATATTTAAATCACTCATGTATTTTAAGAGCCTAGACAGAGGTTGGCCGAGAGTCCACACTAAGTATTATTCTTGAATGAACTGAGGAGCTGGGTAGAGATAAATTTTTGTTCCATATGTAGGTGGTCCATGATGCCTGAGAGCTTCTCTTTCATAGTCCAAAGGCAGGAAGATGTTTTTTAATGATGTAACCCATCATTATGGCAGTATCTACCTTTGAATCAACTTGGGTAAGATTCTTTATTTCCATGGTTTTGTTTTGTTGAAAAATATGTAAAGTGAGGCATTTCATTACTTTATTTGGAAGGTTGACCTATGTCTTGTGTTAAAGTTGTTGAATTGACCATTGACTTCCTGGCCTTATCACTCTCTGTAATCACACCATTCTTTTTTTTTTCCTCCCTTTTCTCCTTAATTTCTTGTTCCTTCTTCTCTCATTATCTCTGTTTCTACCATTTCTCTTCTTTCCATGTCCTCTCCCTTTACTGTCCTTTCCCTCTCCTCCTTCTCTCTCCCTTGTCCTTCTATTTCCCTTCCCTTCTTTGCTCTTTCTCTTATCCTATTTTCCTCTAATGATAGAGCATTCATTAATTTAACAGAATTTTACACATTAATGTTTTAGCCCATGTGTTAAGTATTATACTACATACTAGAGAGGTATATTAAAGCAGTGTGATGAAGGACCTGCCAAAACTTAGAAACTGCTGGAGAACAATGTATTCATTATACCCAAAGAGACAGGTGGGAAGCCGAGTCATGGTGTTAACCAATCCACATCAATGCATTAAGCTGTAAAATTGAAAATCCAAGGGAAATTTCAAATATGTTCTTTGATTTTTTAATAATGACAATTTCATTTGTCATTTGGCCTATTTGTCGTTAAGAAATAGGTCTTAAGAACTATTCTTAACAGGTTAAGAAATCTTAAAAAAATTTATGTGCCATAGGATATGTTGTGTGTGTGTGTGTGTGTGAGAGAGAGAGAAAGAGAGAGAGAGAGGGAGAGAGAGACAGACAGAGACAAAGAGAGACACAGAGAGAGACCAAGACAGAGACAGAGGCAGAAAATAATCAGCTACTTACCAATAGTACTGGTGTCCAAGCAGACACCTGAAACTTTCTTTTAAGCAAACTCAAATAAAATATTTTCCCATACCAATCTAACTTATATAAATACAGAAAAGCCCCCTCCCCGCAACACACATACAAACACAAAACACAAATCCTCTGAACTTGTACCATAGCATCCTAAGACACTAAAAAAATCTTTGCAGTTTACAAACTTTTAGCTGCGTATCATTCTGTGAGTCTATTTCTCCCTTATACCAGTGATTGTGGAAATGTCAGGGGACTCCTGTTCAACAGTAAATAAGCAATAGCTGCAGTGATAACAGTTCCATTTATCTACCTCCTAAATAGCTCTTAAATGTAACTTCACATTGGCTTCCACTGCCCCAGCTCAATCTTTTATTTCTCACCTCAAAAACTATAATATCTTCCTAACAGGGAACTTCATTCCACCTTATCATCTCTATAGCATTGCCACAAAAATTTTCTGCTGTTTGTTTTAAAACTTTTATCTGCTTATAAAGGTATAGTAGATATTTTTAAGTAATTCATATGGACTTAATATCATCTGCAAAAACAAAAGTTATTTACCCATTTCAAACCTATTCTGACCTGTAAATGGAGATAATAGTAACTCCCTTGTGTAATTTTGTGAGGACTGTATACAGCATCTGTGTGAAGTGCTTCCTTCTCACATCACATGGAACCTAAGAAATCTTCCGTGAATGTTAATTGTGATGCTGTTGCTGTGTATAGTAAATAATTTGGAATTTTAAGGAAAATAATAATGAAAGAAGTAGTAAACCATACTTACCAACCCATTAATGCTTTATAGGATTTTTTACTTTGTTTTCTGGTCAGTTCTTATAAATGATGCACCACTTGAAATTAAAACTTGGGCCTACAGATTGTATTTATAGTGTTTTATTGGAAATAATCCTTTTTTTAAAAAATATATTTTAAGACCAATTTTGGTCAAGTTATAATTTTTAAATATAATTTATTGTCAAACTGGCTAACATACAGTGTGTACAGTATGCTCTTGGTGTTGGGGGTAGATTTTTCACCAAATCTATTGCCAAGCAATAATTGATTAAAATGCAGTTTGATGTCTTATATTCCTCTCCCTCTCCTACCTGGGCTTCTCTTCCTTCCTGTATTGCTCTCTGGCAATTCTTTCACATTTTCTTTCCCAGATGAAATTTAGGAGGACTGACATACTTGAAATATTGAATTTCTTCCTCCAGAAACATAGTGTATATCTTATTTTATTCAAGACTTTTTCTTACTTCCAAGTACATTTTTTTAGCTCTTGTTTTCTGGGTCTCGAATATAGTTTTCTTTAGGCCTATTCCTAGTTTCTATAGATAGTGCTGCTATTATGAAACAAGCAACCTCATCATTAAATATTCTAAATTTGAATTTTAATCATTTACCTATTGGCTGTAGGTTCTCTAGGGGATTTTATTTAATGTTTTTGTACACAGTCATATCAGCAAATATCACCAGTTTGGGTACTTTGCTGTTTTTTTTTTTTTTAATGTTTTATTTATTTCTAGGAGAGAGAGAGAGAGAGAGAGACAGTGTGAGCAGGTCAGAAAGAGAGGGAGTCACAGACTCTGAAACAGGCTCCGGGCTCTGAGCTAGCTGTCAGCACAGAGCCTGACGTGGGGCTGGAACCCATGAACCGCGAGATCATGACCTAAGCAAAAGTCGGACGCTTAACCAACTAAGCCACCCAGGCGCCCCAAGGGTACTTTGTTTTTTTACCATAAAGTTTATTTATTGTTGAGAGACAGAGAGACACAGAGTGCAAGCAGGGGAAGAGCAGAGAGAGAGGGAGACACAGAGTCTGAAGCAGGCTCCAGGCTCTGAGCTGTCAGCACAGAGCCTGAGGTGGGGCTCGAATTTGTGAACTAGGAGATCATGACCTGAGCCAAAGTTGGATGCTTAACCAAGTGAGCCACCCAGGTGCTCCTGTTTTGTTTTTTTGCTTTTTTTTTCTTTTTCTAATGTTGAGAAAATGTTTGTGGGTATTAAATATTTAGATAAATAAATTCCAAAGATTATATTTAATTTTACTCTCAAATATTAGTGTGAAATAATTTGTGTTGTGAAATCCAGGTTCAAACTAGTCTTTGTTTATAAATATGAAGTTGTTAATCTGCTGTCTTCTAAAGAACCAATTATCATGCCAAAACTATTCTAATTCATACAGAAATAATCTGTTTATGTGATCTTTGAACATTTTAATAAAATCTTCACATGTTTTGTATTTCACCTAGATACATGGATAGGATACAAGGGTTGTCACCCTTTCTTGGAAATTATAACAAAGCTTTTATTTTTAAAATAGACTTTTTAATTGAAAAATTGATTAGAGGATAGTCACCTGACTCTGATGACAAAATTTGCTGGATTTTGCATCTAGAATATTCTTCTCTTTGTCTTGAATAAATATTCCATACAAGATAAGGTTAGAGCTCCTGAAAAATAGAAACAACAAAAGAAAAAAAAAGAAAAGAAAAGAAAAAAAAAGAGTAAGAATTGAACTGAAATTCTTAGAGAACTTTTTTATTACCTGCTAAAATCTTTGTCTCTGTGGCAGAACCCTGGTTTAGAATTTTGGTTTTTTGTAACATACTCCCTGAAGGGAATATTGTAGTGAATACAGCCTCACAGCCTCACCTCCTTTATTAGAAGCTTATTATAACCAAGAACACTCTAATGATTTTGAGTGACCAAAATGATACTTATTTGTTCACAAAAACATCTAAAATTAATTGTTCAAAGCTTAACTTCTGTTTTCAGGGACCCAACTCTGCTCAGATTTCTCTACATCAATAAATGGAAACTGTATCCCTCCAGTTGCAACTTTACCACTACTATGGCTTAAGCTACCATTGCTCCACAATACATTGCTCTTAATTGTCTCCACAATTTTCTCTCTCCTTGCTTCTCCCCTTTCTCTTCTCTACTCTATTTTCCATACAACAGCCAAAATGATTAAAACTTAAAATATAGTGCTCCTCTGTATCAAATTTCTTAATAGAGTTTCCCAATTAAGAGTTTTATTCATAGTGTTTTTTTCAATGACCATTGAGGAGGCTCTAACATATAATATTCACCACCACCACCAACCCCAAACACACACGCCCCCCCCCCCCCCCCCCCCCACACAGAATTTCCCTTGCCTTTATCTTCTACTAGTTCCCTTCTGAGCACTATGCTCTAGCCTGACTGGCATCTGTGATGTTCCTAAAACATTCCCATTATTCTCTTGCCACAGGTCCTTTGCACATCTTATTCCCTCTCACTAGCATTATATTCTCCAGATATCTTTATTTCAGTTCGTCTGGTCTCCTTCATGTTCCTGCTCATATGTTTAGGTGGTAGAGAGATCTTCTACATAAAATAACAATCAAACATCCCATCTACTTTCCCCTTATGATGCTTGTAACATTTATGACAGAAGGAAGAATACATAGATAATGAATGGATACATTAGGTATGTACAAACTGCTGAAATAATTCTAAAACTTAATTGACTCTTATAAAATAAAAACGTGTTTCTTAACATCACAAATGTATGACAGAGTTAGAAGTAGTGTTAGGTGGAGAGTTAGTTGCCCTTTGCTTCACACAGTCCAGTAATCTGGCCTCCATTTGTCCCAATGAAGGGGTCTGTGGATAAAATTCAGTGGATCAATGAATGTGACTGGGAAAAAATATGTATTTTTTAAACATTTTCAACAACCTGTAACTAAAATTTAGCATTTTCTTCAATTATGAATGTAAGCAAAAAGTGGAGTAATACTGGTGATTTTGTCACTGATACAAATCATAACAATTTCCTGTTAGGTTGTGGTCATGGTGATTATGAGATACTTTTGTTTTCATGTTCTTCCCTACTGAAGAACCATGGCATGGATTAAACCTGCCACTGGATCACACATGATTACAACAGTGTCTACCTGAGTCCCCTGTTTTTGAAACAAAAAGGTGTTTGGGAATGATGTGGTATTGTTCTCTTTGAACTTGAATCTTTCTCTGACTTCTAAGTAGGATTTCTCAAATGTTCTGACATATGCTAAGATCTATACCAATTGCAACTATTGATTCCAGGGTGTACCTAATTTAATATTCCCTTCATCATTCTAAATATGAATGCTAGAGTGTGTGAATTTCCCAAGTGTGGGGTGGAGATTGATGCACCAGTGCCCATAGTTCATTATGTCATCTTACCTAGAACTAATACAATGATGCTTCTATCTCACACATTTGATCAGCCCACTCTCAAATCCATGCAAAAATGGTTGCACATTCCCTTCATCACAACGTACAAAGGCCTCAGCTTGGTTTATAGAAAACTTCTCTCACTCAACTCTACTTATACAACCTAACCTGTCTGTTTCCTATATTATTTTGCAACAACAATAATAATAATTACCCTTTGTGGAAGCTTATATACTTTGTGCCATATACCAAGCTCAGTGTTTCATATAAATTTTCTCAATTAATTCCCACAACAACATTATGAGAGTATGTACGATTATTATCGCCAAATTATAAGCAAGGACAATGAAGGTTATGAGGTAAAGTAAATTAGTCAAGGTCACACACGCAAGAGATGTGAAATCTAAGATTTGGAATCACACTGGTTGACTTCAGAGCCAGAGATCCTCACTCTGTATGCTACAGAACACCTGTGAGTCCCTATATGTCCCCGCCATGCTATTGAGCACATCTGAATTTCACACTTAACCCACATTTTATTTATTGAGTTATAAGCCTGCATGCGTAGTAAGAAAAGATGCTTATTTGTTTCTTTGCATCACTGTCTGTTGGTTTTGTATGCTGTGATTTTAATATCCTAAACACTTAAAAATAAAAATAATTCTATAATTTAAATAAAAATAATTCTATAATTTAATAGTAAAAACAATTTAACTAAGATTGTAGGCCTTCAAGTTTAAATTAAAAGAAGAGACACAGCTCTGATTCTTAAAGAAAATAAAAAGTGAAGCTTTACTGAAGGTTTAGGTACATTTCCAGCTGCATTTTTAGAAGCTTGCATTTTAAATTAGAACAAAGGTAAAAATCAAGCTATGACAACAAAATTGTTTTGCCCCCAAAGATCACCTCTCTCTCAAGGTTCTTATTTCTTATTTTAAGTAGACTTCTAGCTTTGCTACTGCTGCTTCTCTGGGGAACCAAGATGCAACATCCTGATACATTTAACATTTCTTACGCTGAGAATGTCTCCCAAGAGATAGGACCACTTGCAGCATTGGATACAGAATCTTGGTAAACATGTTGTGAAAGCAGCTCTTCCAGGAAACCAAAAGCATCAGCATAAGTTACTTCCCTCTCTCGTGAAGCCAGTGTTTGACTTCCAGCACATCACTCTCGTAAGAGTTTCAGAGGATTTACCTGTGTACATAGATCAGTTTGCAAATTTTAAATGAGACATTAATGAGAAAATTTTTGATAGTTTTTATTTCCTTTATTCAATACTTGAGACAATGCTAGTAGGACAACCTGTGAAGTATTTAAAAATGCAGGTACCCCTTATGCCTTATTTCTGAATGAGAGAGGTTCTTCAGGTAGCAATAGAATATGCAATAAACAGTAAAACTCTTTTTTAAAATTCCAGGTCAGCGTTACCTTAATTCACTTCTATACCAATTGGAAAGGAAGAGGCAGAAGCAGACTATGGGATGTTACTTAGAGCAAGATGCACAGCCCTGCTAGGTCTCCTGAGCATGGAACTGCTATAGTGAATGAGCACAGTTCAAGGGTATGATTGGCGCCCTTGGACGGCTCCAAGTGTTAAGTATCTGACTCCCAAGTTCCACTCAGGTCATAATCTCACCATTCGTGGGATCTATCCTCAGATTGAGCTCTGTGCTGACAGTGTGAAGCCTGTTCGGGACTCTCCCTCTCCCCTCCTTCCTGCCCCCCACCCCCGCTCATACATGTGCACTCTTGATCTCTCAAAATAAACAAACATATAAAAAAAAAAAACAAAAAAGACCACGGTCATACGTGGTTGGAAGGACTTGTGACTGCAAATACAACATGTACTCATCAGTCAGGGGACCACTCAGAGCATCACACACCTAGGCAGCCAGTACAAAGCCAAAATATCAACAGAGCTGTTTAAAATGAGACATAAGCATGCCAAGTTGGTATTTTCTCATATAAGTAACAGAAGATATGGATCTAAAGGTCAGTAATAACCCTAACAAGCATTTATTAATATAAGTGGTAAATAATGCTACCCCAAGCCTGGACGCCCGACCTGCGAGGAGAGACCACTTTCCGTGTCCATTCCGCATGGGAGGTCAAATTACACAGCTGTTTCAGTATGATATGAAACTGCAGGGTTAAGAAGAGTGAGTGGGCTGTATTCTAACAGGCCCATCGCCACATTAACACATCTGCCACTCAAGTATACAAGTCTTTGTTCTTAAGCCAAGGCACACTGCCTCTTTGAAAGTATGCAAGCAAGCTCTTGATATTTCCCTTTATGGCTCCAATTTCCTTTTCTGTGGAAGATCTACCCCTTTTTTGAATGAGATTGTTAGAAAAAATTATATTAATATCTTTACATGAGGTTATAGTTAAGCCTTCTGAGCCTGTGACTCTTAAGGTTTACAGTGGCTTGATATATTACCACTTTGGTCCAAAGCATATGCTGTTTAAAGGTCAACTCTTCTTGGAAAATAATATGTTTATTATTATTTATTTCTTGAGATTATGGGTGGCACAACTCAATCTTCCCTCCAGTTGTTCCCTAATACTTTATCATGGGGCTATTCACATATTTTAATTGGAAAGTATATTTCAAGTAAACATTTGATACACACTGTAACTTCTTTGTTTATCTTCAGTATCAGTCCCTTGAGAATCTTACTTGTATTTAAATTTCCAAGAAGCAGAAAATACAATAATACAGTAAACTTAATTCAGTGGAATCATAGCAGTATCACAATGTTCTTATGCATTATATGCTGCTTAAAGATCACTTATTATTAGAAAATAATTTGCTCTTTCAGGCAACCATTTTTTAAGTCCCAATTCTAATCTGATTAATTAATTATGTGCTTTACAATTCAGATAACAGTCTGTGCTATGAATGATAGTGTTGGTTCAGAAACCTTTTATTTAATAGCATCCAAAAATATACCCAACTAATACTTGATTAGATTTTAATATTGAGTTAATCAGCCACTACACAAATATATATGGTATCATCCATCTGAGGATACTTGAAATATCTTTTGACCTGAAATTTCAAAGGCAAATATAAAGATTGAGTTGAAAAGGTTGACTCTACACCATAATGAAAATTACATATGGTTCACACTGATGTATAAGTTAACCATTGCTATTCAACAAATACCTCCCATTCTGTAGGCTTAGGACAACTGTCTTATTTAGCTCAGTATTCTGATATTTCTTGACT